TCAATGATTTTGTCCCTTTCAAGGTCTTGAAGGCAAGCTATAAGAGTGTTAATGCACTACAATGAGAGTGGTACCTTCATTTCTGCTGGACTTAAAGTATTGATGGTGTCTGTGTAGCAGGCTGTGTGTTAGATAGCCACCTTTTTGTGTTTGCAAAGTGCTTGGTTAGATACTACAGGTCATATTTCTATCACATAATTATTTAAACAAATAGTGGTTTGAAACAAAATTATGACATTTTTTAACTTGGTGTGTTTGTTTTTAAGCCTGGCGCCTCTGGTGAGCAAAGTGAAGGAGCCCCAGGTGGAGACGATGGTGGACGTGCTGTGTTCAAACATGACGTCGGACAAAGAGCAGCTGAGGGACATTTCCAGCATGGGACTGAAGACCGTGATCGCAGAGCTGCCACTCACATCCTCAGGTGAGCGCTCACTGTCCTCCCACCTGTCTCCTCGTCGTGATGATCAGCTTTTAATGGTGGATTTCCATCTCATGTTAAAGGGGCAACTTCGAGAGTATGAAGAGCATCAATAATACATGGCATAGAAGCAAAGCTTACATTGTAGACAGTCATTCATATTTTACTTTAATAAGTTTGTAATTTTCCTGGGACTGCATGTAAAAGTGTCTGAAATTACCTACACAGCTACAACATGCCATATTTGTGTTTTCACCAAATAATAACCAATAATTGTAAATTCTCACTTTTTCACCATTAATTTTTGCACATTTTCGCTGCCATCTGGGCTTAATTGTCACAATTATTCAGCAACTACAGTCCTTAATGTGAGCTGAAATCAGGATGTCTGATCATTTGAAGGCAGTGAAAGCTCAAAGTTGTTTAAACATCCTTGTTTTGGGTTGGATCCACAGGTTTGACTCTGACAGGCAGCGTGTGTAAGAAGATTACCTCCCAGCTGATTGGTGCCATGGGGAAACACGATGATGTGTCTGTGCAGTTAGAGGCCCTGGACATCCTGTCGGACATGTTGGGAAGGTAAAAACAAGATCTCGGTCCAAA